AATTTTCTTATGGATCATCTGTTTAGTGAAATAATTTTTCAAGTGTTGACATCACTCATCGGCTTATGAGAAGTGTCAAGATTTTCCAATATCATTAGGTTTTTTTTTTTCAAATCCGCGAATGGATATTAACGAACTACTGCAAAGTTGAGCATAGATTATTATGCTCTCAAGATTATCTGAGCAAAATTACGGTTTGGTTGATGGTATAATTTACATGTACATTGTATTTTTTTAGGGTTCGGTGCCCAAATAGTAAAACGGGAACCCTATTATTAAAACTTCGCTGTCTGTCTTTCTGTCTGTCACCAGCCCGTGTTAAAACCCGTGCAAGTTAGACAGTTGAAATGTTCACAGATGATATATTTCTGTTGCCGCTTTATCAACAATTATTAAAGAACAGAATAAAATAAATTTCTCTGCATTTTTTTTCATAGAAATGGTACAGAACCCTTTGTGCTCGAATCCGACTCGCACTTGGCTCTTTTTTGTAGTTTTCATCTAAAAAGATAAATAAGTAATGAAATTCGTTTGCGTCACGATAGAGCTGATCATTTACATTTAAGTTTCATAATCATTACCATGGCTTACCTTTTAGAGCTTCATGATATTTAGAATTTTAAATATAGACGATACATATTTTACTCGTAAAATAATTATTATTATTGCACGACATATTATACGAGAATACATAAATTGCGAGTATTATTATTGGGATTATTTAAATTGACGTTAGCTTCATATGCAATGATTCATATGGCGTACGAGTATAAGGACGTACGAGATTTTATTTAAAACAGTTTTCAAGCCAATCAGTGACTCATTCGTATTTTTTTGAATAGATGTATAATTGGTCTTGAAATTATATCATCTTGATATACTCGCGCTGCATCTGCACTGGGTATTTTTTGTTCTAATTTTCTCTTTCAGCAGTCATCTTTCACTCCTTTTGTTTTCATTTCATTAAAATGTACCGAAGTCTTGACTTGCATAATTCATTTAAAGTTGTACTTGCTCGCCAAAAAAATACATTATGTCGTTACTTAGACGATGCCACAGGTAAACTAATCTGAGTGTAGTGTCTACTGATTTCTGCAGAATTATACTAATTGTCTATTAACTTTTATTTTTATATATCATTGTTATCAATAAAAAGTAGATAAATTAACGGGGTTGGCATGAAAAAAAATTATAAGAGAATGAGCACCTGATCTTGGCATCGGATCTACGTTTTTGAACTGTGGCAAAAACTTAATATTTGCGCTCACTCTGTGTGGCATTTGACATAATTTGTTATAAAATCGTTGATGACATTTTCTTTGTATTGGACTAATAAGAAGGAACCCGAACAAAATAAAAATAATTATTTTGACGCCCTCGACATCCGGGGGGGTATTACGAGTCTTAATTATCCAGATTTAGAGTATACTCGTACCTGTCACGTGACCGATGGAGGACCCCTAATCGTCTTTTCAATAGTGGATGTTGTAAGCTTAGAACAACATCCTCGTGTCGATAAATAGTCGTGGTGACGTAAACGGCAGGTAAATAAGAGGCTGGCTGATGGCAATTATCATCGCGGCATACGACCGTGACGACTGTGCGACCTAGACCTTGACTCTGCTCGACTCGGCAAACACACAACATACTACATGTTAACACCACTGCTGATGGTTTTTTTTTTCATCTTGACGCAATTTGGTGAAACGCCATGATTATTACAGAAGAGTATAATTTCAAAGCAGTACTTTTTATGCACCTTATCATAATGACACAACAGTAAAGTGTATTGCTGTTGAAAGTTTATTGTCATGCTAAATCATGTGATATCTCAGCGTCTATGGAAAAAGCGTAATTTCTTATCTTAAAACGTCTGATTTTTTTTTCGTTTGGACAATTTTTCGAAGCCATTTTGTATGGTATATAATGTCGAATCAAATGTCGGCTGCGGCTTCACTGGATGGCGTCAATCTGAATTGTCCTAACCGTGATTCTGGCGCATAACGTAGGCACACACATTAAATAGGTACACTGACCGATGGCATCGATTATCTTGGCTTTGTGGGCCGCTTTGGTTTTAGTTTATTCGTATAGATTTGTAACAAAAAAACCCGACCAGAAAATGTGTAGAGTGCAATCCCATCGTGAATAACCAAATCACCTCAACGTGATATGATCATGCTCTCAATGACAGAGGTGATGTTTTAATAAATCTTGTATTTCCTCGACGTATTAGTATTGGTTGATGGTTATTGAACCTGTGGACGAAAATTTATTTATAGATTACACTGCGATTAGTCCTTTTGGTAGGACGATTGTGACGAACCGCGCAGAACTTTGTCTAAACGGAACACTTATTTCGATAAAACAATATTGTATCACTTCGGATTCAATCAAAGTACCTACATGTAAATGCAATGTTCTCATATTTTATCCGAACTGTGTGGGAAACTAAATTATCATACGTAAAAAAACTAAGAGCTAAGATCTCGGTCAAAAAATCTTTAGGAAAAAATATTGTTGATAGTTAAGCTCGCGTTATTGCTTATTTCTCGCCAGTCATTTGTCTACAAAGCGCATTAGAAACCAGTTTCACGTGGGGATTTCCTTCATAACCTTCTATAATTTATTGACGTCAGACTTGAAACAGTCTAAAAAAACAGTATCCGAAAATTGATAATTTTATCACTTATATCAGTATTCCTATAAAACTATCCTTAGAATAGGATATCCTTAACACGAGTTTGACAGCTTTTTCCTCTCACAATTATCGGCATACTATAATAAGTTATATGCATGTGTTTATTTTTATAAATAATGGGCATTGTCAGTTATATCAGCTTCCACTATAATAATTGCGGGGAGATGAAATAACAAAAACATAAATTAGTATCTACAACAAATTATGCGTTATAAATCATAATATGCTAACGATGGCCAACCAATGTTGAATGGAAAAATAATCCAAAAATAATAAGTATTTTTTTATAATTATCTAAAAGTAAATGTGTGTACATGATGTAGATAAGATAAAACAGTTGGAGTATGTCTATACAATAATAGTGATAAAATAAACCAGATTTTAAAAATAAAAAACAGTAAATAGATAATATTTATTTTTCCGTTATGAAAAGTAAAATTAGTTTAGAATGCAAAATAATGTAACAGAAATGCTTTAAAATATTTAAGAAAAACTCGCACGTTTCACACTTTCACTGAATATCCTTCGGTGCAAATCTGAGGAAAATATTCGTCTCTCGGTAACATGCGTTAGCAGGTGGACCGTCTTTTGAGTGTACAACATTGATATCATATTGTCAGTTTTGACGCTTCGTGAGCGCAGATGCGCGTCACATCTCCGAGAAGGTCCCTCGGGAAACACGGAAGTGTGCGTTATGTAGTACGCGATGGATTTTAATTTGAGTGTGTAAAGTTAAATATTATATATTTGTTAGTTCTGACGTTTCGCGACGAAAAATATACACGATGCATCACATGTGACAGATTCTTAGCCTTTGATTATAGAATCTTTCTTAAACTCTTAGGTCCGAACTTTAAGGTCGCATTTGAATAAAACCTGCAAAACTTGTGTCTATTAATAATTGAGCTTTTTTATCTTTTTCGGTAATAGGGTAATTATTGTTTCGACGCAATTGAGGGTTGTATGTGCCATGCCTCATCTTCGACACATATCTAGTTGATATGCATGACCCCGACCTGTCCCGATTGATAATGCTGTCTCCGAGATGTTTACATCTTAGTCTGTTGACCAATTATGACATTATTACAAATCTCGTGAATCAGTTACGATCAGACAGGATCAGATGTTAATATTAGAAGGCTGGTTCTAGGCTGTACTTTATTTTATTAGGTATAGTTTTCTCCTAATGTAAGACTATGCAGTTTTCCACGATTGTCTATTATATATATTCTTCTTATACAATTGGATTATTCAATAAGATTGCCAACATATAGATATTTACTTGTTTAAATTCAAGATAGCGAAAACTATTTAAAGTAACATTGATTAATGAATTACTATATCGATTTTCACGGTTATCATCCTTTATTTTAGCAGTATTCAGCTCTGTATACTTATTAATTACTATTTAGCTCATTTGTTAAATATTACAGTTATATTTTATTTAGCGACCGACAATTTTAAAAATGATGAATACAATGGAACTCTAAAACTGAATTGTTGTCAATCAGTCATCGTGCACGCTTTGTTGGGAAGAGCTACCGCAAAAGGGTACGCAATTACGTGTCTTCGCAACAATAATTTAACAAAGGCACAAAGAGAGTTCATTTGTTTATACTGGCTGCTAATTAGTCACTTCCAAGTTGCTTGCGCTATAGGTATATCACACTGGTGGCAAAAGCTTCGAATATTGTCAGCTGCTGCCTGAATGAGTAGGCATCTAATACGCATCCGCTGCGTTTCCGATAAGAGGTGAGTCAGCTAGCGTTGGGTGTCTCCATTCGCGCTGATCCAATATTATTGAACAGGTCATTCATACAATCGCTCCTAATCGTGCACTAAACGGATTTTCATTGAAACGGATGTTGTCAGACATCGGTGGTCAACATTTACTGTCAGTAGCAATCGTATCGCGAACGTGGAAGGTCGTGCCGCCAGGATCCGCGTCTCGTCCGTCACTCGACGCCGTCCTGACGCTCAGTAAATAAGACTATCGGGAGCTTACCCATAGACAATTAGTGATAACAACCTAAACATTACAAGGAAATTACGCTATCACGGGTGCCGTTTAAATATTTGCTATGTTTTTCGAATCTGTCGTGTAATTATGGTGAATAACTAATCAACTTATAGACATTTGTGTAGTGATACTCGAAAAAGTTTTAAAAGGAAAATTGCGATATATCAGTGTTATGTCACCTGTAGGTGGATAATGTTTTTTTATCATCGTTATCGGTGACTTCAGTGGCCATTTCGTACAGTTGTTGATAACTGTCGATAGAGACGCTCGTGTTGGAAGATGCCAGTGCTCGGTTACGACAATATGGCATCTCAGGATCTGTGCATGATGGGCTACAATTCGCCCCCAGACTACGTTTTACCCCCTGAGTGGGACAAGGTCCCAGAGAACGAGTACGCTGGTTACTGTAGGAACAACATGGAACACAGCTCACACGTCCCAATGAAGTACAATGAAGGTTTGTTTACGACTTATTATATTTAGTTGTTTACTGCCCTTTTGTTGAACTGCGATAATTTAGTGTCAATGTTAAAGCGATAAGAAACGTTACTTAGCATTTCATATGAATAATTACCTACATAAATGAAATCTTACATATTCTTGGTGTATGCTGAGATTAACCTCCGAAACTACGACGTTTATTTAAAAAAAATAACCTTTCAAAAGATATATGATATTCCAAATGGATGGTAGCTAATTTTATCGGGTCTACATATAAAGTTGTTTCCAAACATTTACTGCCCATTAATATTTATGAGTCGACCGTTTCCTCCAAGCGTGAAAAGTAACATATAATTTTTTTAAATAAATAGTACCTCTTTATATTTTTTATTTACAATCTTCTAATTTACATTATTCGATTAGATTGTATAAGACGGGTATTAACGCGATAGATTTCGATAGTAAGGTTTTCACATACCTATATTTTTCGACCAGGTTACACTGGCTATCGAAATCTATAGCGTTAATACCCGTCTTATACAATCTAATATAATGCAACGCGAAAGTTTACATTATCCGGTCCACAAAAAGGTATATTAGCTGAATATTAAAAAATAACTCATTATTTCCCAATCAAATTTCTTAAACAAACATGATTAGGTATCTTGTTTGTCTAACGCTTCAAGGATTAGATAATGGAATCAGTCAGCTATATGATTACATTTTAGATTTTTTGTGACACTCATTTTTGCCTTTTTATATATAGTATTAATTAAGGATGTCTTAGATTTCAACATATTTATTGATTAAAAGTCTCCTTATAAGTGAAAGATTACAAATTCAAATAATTTGCAGTACATTATCATTTTGTTTTGTAGAGTTCCCCTTTACTACGTTTCATTGACAGAATTTCTGTGTATTACGTTAACTTATAAAGGCCAAAAAAGTTTTATTTAGTATTATCATAGGTTGATGGCAACTTTTCTGTGTTGAAAATTGCTATAAAAAACTGATGGCATAAGTGCGTCAATGTCTTGGTGCTAGGTCATTACGTTTTTATGTTATCAATTATGATTTGATCATGCTTTTTCATTGTGTTTATCAAACTGATCAAAATATAACACAAACCGATTGTAACTTTGTGGCCACAAGTGAACTTAGTGTGCGTGCAAATATAAGACAATTCAATTCCACCAATTTCTGATTAATTGACATTCTTGAGTACTCTCAAGTATGCTTTACAAATCAGAAGTTCTATTCTGTTTCTGTGAAAACAAGTTTTCGGATAATTCCGAAACGACCTTATTAATATATACGCCAGTTTTCTTTGCAAAGTCTTGATTTTAAATATTAACAGCCTCTTTGATGGGTAATTGTTTTTCACTTTTTTAAGCCTTTATGAACTCATTTTACTTTCGTACCAGATACTGAAGGTAGTAAGTAGTGATCTATGACCATAATAAATCAAGATTTATTCAACTGCCTTTGACATCTATCGAAGTCATTATCCTTTTTTTTATGTAAGTAGTATTTAACTGTCGTCATCTCCATAAACCAGTTAGACGCGTTTTCATGATTTAACCTAACCTGTTGCTGCTTATGTTTTTTTTTGGTATATAGCTACGATTTAATAAATTTCAAGTTATAGTAAGTTACTTGGCCTAGGTATGGAGCAGTCCTTTCTGGATCCCAGCCCCCTAACATGACAAAGCCGACGAATACTTTGTCTACACCAAATGTCACTTTTCTCCAGTCGATAGTGAGATATCGTATAGGCGAACCCATTTGGAACATTTGGGTGTAGACAAAATGTTGTCGAATTTCTCATGCTACGCGTGCAGCAGATCAATTCTGTTACAGTGCTATTAATAACCAAGTTTTAGTGTCAGAGTAAATTTATACTATAATTGCAATTTTAGTATTAGTTCAAATTCTAATCAATTCTAGGATATTATACAGAAAATAGCCTACTAAGAGTACATATTACTCCCATAGAACCTCGTAGTAGGTTAACCTTTGCTAAGTCTCTGTTTAATAATATGAATTTTGACTAATATTAAGTGCAGTCAGCGTAAATTTACTCCAACTCTAAACCTTGTTTACTAATGTGTACATTTTGCCATGGTAATATCTACCTAAAGTCCAATACTATTATGTATATCTGCCCCCATTGATTTAAAAGGAAGACAAGATAAAGTGGAAGACATTGCACTAATAATATATAACTTTAGGTAATGGTAAAACGCAACTCATTGGGATGTGATTATTACGTAAACATTAGCAGAATATTTGACCTTCAGCAGGGTGATTCTGTAAAAATCAGAACACGAATTCAAATTCACTTATGTGTACGAATTCACGTTATTTAGTGAACAAATGCTATTGATATTTTTGTATAAAAATACGAAACAAAATTGATTGATTGTACACATGTCTCAGATATTCTATTTCATGTCATTTCCCCAAAAGTGAGAGCGCATCGAAGGATGCAAATAATAACTTTAGTCTTCGTTTTATAATAAGAATGTTAGCTTTTAGAGTAATCGGAGCTAATTTTTCATCTTATGTTAAGACGACGCTTAAACCAAAATTAATAATCTCATATTAATTGTAAATGAAATAAATCAAGTTCGTATAAACTAGTTAAAACTTAAAAAAAAAACTACATAATGTCTAACTAAAGTATCTAATTGTGGCCCGCTTTCATTCACAAATTCATAATATCCTGGCGGCATATAGGTAAAACTCTGCTAAATTATGAACTAGATATAATTTTGAACTCTAATACCCAACACCTGTGTTATTGACAGGTTTCGCGGTTTGGTTTCGTTTTCACATTTCAGGGTTTAATCTGAGATGTGGCATGCTGGGCATTGCCCGAAATCCCAAATTTGAAGATTAAGGTTAGACTGAAGACTCATTTTACTCTTTAGGGAAAAAAATAACTAATAAAATTAACTAATTAACTAAAAAAATAAACTGTTCTGCATTAGAATTTATGATTTCTTTTATGTGTGTATCGATTATAAAACTATTTCAATTGTGATTTAGTTATTTAGTATTACTTAACACAATTCTAAACGACTGGACCGGGCTTGCTTCTTTTCTTTTTAGTTTTTATTTAAGTTAATTTTTTTCATGATTTTTTTTTAATTCTTTTTTTATGCAAAATTGATAAAAGGTACCTAAAGTTGATTTTAAAATACCTTTCAACGACATAGATCATCAATTTTTTTTCATTTTGACAATATGGCGTCTAGTTGTTACTGTGGTGAATTTTGATTACTGTCATGTCTTTAGTGACACTCGTAAGGTTAAGACAAATCGATTGACGTAAGAATCATCATAATCGGCCTACGCATTTGGTCTCTAGAACGCCACATAGAAACAAACATACATACATAGACTGATAAACACATTACCCTCCTTTGCGTCGCGCAGTCGGGTAAAAAGTATCGGGCCAAAAAGATAATTTTTTAAAAACAATTCTAGAAAAATATTCAGATTTTTTAATAGGCTAAATCAAATAGCAATCTCTTGACGACGACTTGGGCGACGAGTATAATTTGTGCCCGGATTAGCTAAATAGTTACCTGAAATTCTGATTGATATGTCAAAATGCGGCCTGGCAGGTCATCCAGATCTGTCAGGTTGATATACTACTGTCATCACGCCAATCATGACTGGAGGTTTACGAGTTCGTTACGCTACGCGTGCAGGACTTACTTTTGACAGATCAATCAGAGGTACAGTTTCGCGGTACAGCCGCTGGCCCGTCTCCTTTTTGCACACTTAATAGTTAATAAACAGCAAGATAACTTGTTCGACTGTCAAATACTATTAAACTTGCTTCTAATTTTTTTAGAATAAACAATACGTTATACGTTTGTAACAATGACAGTTAATTATTAAAAGTGAATACAAGAGGTGAATAAAGACAGATATCCAAATAAGGCCTTAAATATAAAAATAGACGAATCTTATTTTGATTATGGCTTACATAATAAATTCGCTACATGTATGCCCATATATAATGCTAGTATCTTGGATTTTGCAAGATAGTTATTGTACGAACTATTTTGTCACGTCATAAATCACCTAGTTTTTTTTTTAATACAAAATGAGTCAACTATTGGATTGTTTTATGTGTTTTTGCAATTTTCGTTTCTAAAAGGGATATATCAGTTGACATCTTTATTGTGCATTGGTTTATACTCGTACGTTCATCACAAGCACAACGTACGCGTGCCTTTGGGAGAATCAAACCTATCACCATAGTTTAATAATAATGTCAGTTTGTCACGGCCTTGACTTTTTATTAATTTATAATACAGATTATATTTGCTACGTCAGAATTATAGAAAGTATTTCACCATAAGCATTTTTATGTAGTAAAGTATATTTGCAAAAAAATATATGTTAACCTATTGTCATATGTGATTGTTGACGTGAACTGTAATTTGAGTATGATTGTAATTGATTGTGCAATTGGTACTGTTGATGTTGCTATTTTGATAGTGTTATGATACTTATATTTTCGTATTATTATTATTTATACGAAATTTAAGAAAAGGCGAGTTAAAACATGCCAGTTTATGAGGCAAAAAGATGCAGATGATGGCGTATAGCGTGAAATAAAGCGACATAATTTATTTCCGATTCAAAAAAAACCGATTTAATCCGTTAGTCAGATATTAGAAAAATATTAGATACGTATTTTATGAATTATACAGATTATGAAGTAGAATACTTAATTATACTAGTGGAAGTGGCACGTGCATGAAATGAATTTTAAAGGTAAAACATTAGACTTGTCATATAAAGAAAAGAGATATTTAATGTTTTATTTTATTTATTTTTAATTTATCACATAGAGGTTTTGTTTTGAAATTAATAAGTGATTCAAGTAACAAATAATAATTTACCAAGACTATACTTTCAGTTATATTTAACACCATAATACTACCCACATGCCACATCAAATGCTACTATTTACAAATACGTTTTCGTTTACAAAAGTAATAATATCAAAAAAGACTAGTAAACCTACCTACACGCACTCTGAAGTACCGACCCTATTGGGGCAGAATCAAAGTTTAAACTAGTAGAAACTGTCCCACTATATCAATTTAGTAGAGTAGATTCTATTGCCCTGTATGGAGTAACTTTTTTTATTGTAGGGAAATTGCTTTAAGCATTCAGCCACCTGGTTAGCGACGGGGTTATGTTAAACTCCACTTTGTGGGTCCATCTAGCGACCCGCAGACCCAAAAAAAACCCTACAGTGTACCCTCACATGGGGGGATGACACCCGGGAAACTATAACGAGTCACCGGGGCGCATAAAAGAGTGACCTATATTTTGCTAATTCTTATTTTTCTCGTTGTTTCAGACAGTGATATACAGTTGGAAACAAGTAGTAGTGAAGCCAGTGCGGCTAGTTCAACGCCGTTGTCACAGCACTGCGCAATATGTGGCGACCGAGCGACCGGCAAACACTATGGTGCATCCTCCTGCGACGGTTGCAAGGGATTCTTCAGGAGGAGCGTCAGAAAGAACCACCTATACACATGCAGGTGCAGATATGTATTTACTGTCCACTAATCAATTTTCGACTTACCGTTTATAGATTACACTGAGCTTACGGGCGCTGGCTGTAGTCCTGCTTTCTGGATCAAAGACCCATCTCCCAAAAGTGAGAGTACATTGGATATTGGAAGGGGTAATGTGGGTATGCCATCCGCGTTTTGAGTTCGGGTGGGTCCGTGCGAATGAAGAGTCCCATACACCGCCCCTGGCCCCTGCCGCCCGTGAAGCGGTACAAACAATAATGACAAAATTTTGTACATATAGATTAAATGTGTGAATTACTGCATTATAGCGGCCTGTTAGTAATTCAGGATTTTTAAGGGAATTGTACAAGTTTGCAATTATTATGAAATATATGGAGGGATGTTAACCAAAAGTTTGTGTCTATCTCATTTCGCCCGCAATAGGGACAGTTGGTAAAATTGTGCGTCAAAGACGCCAAATATACCGTGTAACATCGACATACCTATATGCATCAGAGTCAATTTTGAAAACAAATAATTGTGACGTCGAAAACAGCAATGATGTCAAACTTACTAACATATGACGCTAATGTATGAAAAAGTAGTGTACCAAAAATGATAGTGAGCCACATAGGTAATTTTTATTGTCAAAACAGGCCTAAGTCAGTCAGTTAGTCGCCTGGCCTTAGGATTAGATTATAATTTAACTGTTTTATATCTACGAAAACTTTGTATTTTATATTCATGACGTCTTCTTGGTATGTAAACAAAACAGACCTATTGAATTTTGTAATTAAATTGTTAAATTCGATATTAACCAGACAAAAATTGTATCATCTAAAGATCTACTAAAATGAAGTTAAAATGAGACCAAATGGCGCTATGTAAGGAACTGCTTCAAAATAAACAGGGTGTAGTTTCAGCAGTCGAATCAAAATTTATATCTATATAAATATTTTTTCGTATTTCATTATTTTTTTTTTACTGAAAGTACCTACCCTACTGCATTATACATTGTAGGTCAAGGTCATGACAATGTTTTTTACGACAAAAGAAACAAGTAAGAAGTTCTCGAGCGAAATAAATTGAACAAGTTTAGGTTTTGGTTCCGAAATTTAATTTCAATTTATAGAAACATCAAAATGAAAGAGTCTAAATTAATGTCCTCAGAATCGTTTATTTGACAAATAATTATTTTGATTTACAGATTTAGCCGAAATTGTGTCGTGGACAAGGACAAAAGAAATCAATGCAGATACTGTAGGTTAAGGAAGTGTTTCAAAGCTGGCATGAAAAAAGAAGGTGAGTCAATTCTATGTCATAATTATTTATAATAGAACAGGAATACAAATCAAAATAAGTTATATGACTTTGATTTATCATTATCATCACCAGTCTATTAATACCCCCAGTCTATAAACCCATCATGCGGCCCAGAGCGGATTAATGAGTATTAAGGGACTGTGGTCCCGTTTGCATCTATGTTAAGTTACGGCCTTGGGTTTAACGTGCCTTCCGAAGCGCATAGGAGCTCGAGATATTTATTTTTTGGCCCATCCGAAAGGGGGCCTTTTCGAAAGTTGCTTAACAACCATATCGCAGATCGAACGTGCCAATCACCGACCCGTCGTGTTCTTCGCATATTGTTTTCTATAGATACGCATATATTTCTTCACTCACTGATGGGATTCCTAAAAGACATTAACATAACATGCTTTTCTGTATTTAACATTTCACGTATTTTCAGTTCCATCGTCCTCGGCATACTATTTGTGTCGGTAATATATTTTTAAAATCTGTTTACTAAGAGCACTTGGAATGTGTAGTTATCTTCTGGGCTTATCAAATTATTCGTAAATGACTACAAATTATATAATACAATTGGTACTTAATGCATACCCTATATTACCCAAATGTATTATTTTAATACGAAATAGGATATACTTAGTTATATTAGCACTAATAAAGTTATCAGTAGAAACCTGTTTAAAGACAAGTAATTTGTAAATACGCATACTTAATGCTCGTGTGCTTATCAACATTGCATGTAAGTCAAATAAAATGCTAGATATAAAAGTAAATATGACAATTCCTAGCATAGCGGTTTAGACAATGATACATGTTTAAAATGATTTTGAGTTTTATGAAACAAGTTATGACCTTATTTCGTTGAGAACAAAGTAAAAAATCCTTTAGCTTGTAATGAATATTAATTAATACATATTATTGACTATCATAAATAATAATACTAGTTTTACGTTGTGGTGTCCTTATCTCAATATTGTTATTTAAGTATTATAATTCTTACTTATCGCATAATCTTTGTTGTCGCTAAGAGAACTTATTGATACCAATTTTAATATTCATGATTTTCATTAGATAAATGTTACCGTTTCATTATAACCAGTTATTAACACATCTTGTTAAAACTAACATTTTTTTAATTGATTTTAAATCCTAATGCCTTGGTAAGGAATTCAAAATTGATTGTATTTAATGTGCTGTAGGTAGTTTATTACTAGCGATTTCGCACAGATGTAATTTACATGTATTTTAGCATGTTTTTCGGACAGTTTCTTCAATAAATTATATTATCTCGTCGAACTTCTTTAGACAGAACCATAATGTATTATATTAAATTAATAACTAAAACAATGTTAAAAAGAAGGCTCCTTCTCGCCGCGTTTACTTACCTTCCCATTTACATTTTTATGCAAAATGGGTGATTATAGACAAAAATTTAGGACCTGCCCTGCGATTCTGTTAAACTCCAAACCCGAATTCGAATTCTCTCCGGTGTCCGAATTGACTTCAAAAAGAGGCATACGCTCAACCTTGAATTGGTAATAACGTTTCGTGGCATAAGTTCGAAATGACATAGGAATAGAATATCTGAGACACGTGTATTCAATCAATTTTGTTTTGTATTTTTATTCAAAAAAAATGGAATCAATAGAATTTTTACACTAATGACGTGACTTCGGACACATGAGTCAATTCCAATGAGGAAGTATTAAAAAAACATCCCGAAATCAAAATGGATGTCGCTACATTCTTGATTTCTCCATAACAACCCTTCCGGTTTTCTTTCGTGTTTAAAAGTAAATTAGTTTCAGAAATTCAATAAACAACTCATATTCTATTTGTACTTTTTCGCATTTTTAATGATATCTAAGTTTCGAACTTTTCAAATTTCAGTTTTTTAATATGTTAGTTAAAAGAAACGGAAATGACCGTCTTTGGTTCATTCGTTTCCTGCAAAAATCAACTTTTGCTAAAGTCGCCATCTAGTGGAGGTGCTTTTTAGTGCTTTCGTTTTTTTTTAATACTTCCTTATTCTCGTTTGGATTTTTACAAAATCGCAACTCTAGAACGTTTTGTCAACACTCAAATGTCACTTTTCTCAGGTAAATCGTTAAGATATCTCACTCTCGAATACTCTCGATCCGAGAAAAGTGACATTTGGTGTAGACAAACCGTTTCTCGGGTTTATCATGCTACGCGTGCATATCTAATTTTAATGTAAAACTAATAAGTAAACCTGAATTTGTCGTTATTGTAATCATTATAAGGGAACCATGCTTAATTTTTCTTCTTGATACCATTCACTGTTAAAAAATTTATAGCGTTATAAATAGACAAACCGAGAAGAGATTATTTTTTAGTATGTTATGCAGTATTCTAAAAACAATAATAAGTTTAACATTTTCTAAACTATTTCATCGCGTTTGTATTTAGTTTTATTGACGTTTCGGACCTTCACAGGTACCGCGTTTACATAGAACTAAGGTGTTGATTGTCTTTTAATTAAAGAGTATGGATGGCTTCCTTCGAAACCAATACTATTGGACACATTCACAATACAAAAATACATATATTTTATGGCAACGTTTACATTTATTTAATTATTTTAAAAATACATTCGACTTATTTATTTACCCCTGGCTACCGTAATCCATAATACAAACGCAATGAAACCGTTTAAAAGTTGTTTCATTTGTGGATAGCGCTCGTGAAAATATAAGAAATCAACGATAACAAGTTTTGTATTTAATCGCCGAACTAATTAGGAGATATTAAACATTATGCTTAAGCATGAATTTAAATTTAAATTTTCATAAATACATTTAGCGGTATTAATTTATTTGTGTACTACGTTTGAACATGATTGTGAGAATCGGTTCGTGACGCAATCGATATTGTTTTGTGAGTAATTGGGTACGTTGTGTTCATTAAATCAAATTATTCCAGCATTCCCCGGAGATAACTTTTGCTAGTGAACCACGATAGGGATATTTTATCAAACAAAGAGAGCATAAATTGTCTGAATGTTGTTTATAATGCGTGTTACTGTCGGCGTTCGGCATTACGGTTGAAGGCTGTAGGTAACACAAACAATGTATTGTGGTAATAAGTTTTAATGTTTACGTGATTATGTCATATTTAATATGTACATGTATTTTATATCTACGACATATAATAGCATTTGAATAAGTTGGAGGACGATCACAATCATACGTCATTAAATGTATTTGTTTAATAATAATTTTGATTTCCTAAAGAATTTAGTAATGATAATGACGCAAAGCTTGGTATAAAATACCAGTTGCTTTCATTAAGCATCAAATATCTATAATAGATTTTTTATCTAATAAAAATATAGAAGTAACAGCATGTCTACAATTAATAGTTTCGGATTTACGGTGCTGTTTGTGAAACTGCTGCTAGTCTGCCGAAAAAATCTCCCTGCAAATTCAACGCACTAAGTGACGTCACACAGTTCTATGGCAGCGGAAAACGTATGGGCATCTGGGCAATCTTTGTAATATCTTTGTTAATTGTGCATTTATGTTTATAGCTCCCATAACCAAAGTTGTTACGTTTTATGTAACTAATTTAATGCCATATTTATTTTAGCCAATTTTGGTAATATATTTTACATACTATTTGAAGTTTTCAAAGCGTAACATTTTCCAAATAAGTGACACAAAATTCATTTTTTAAAATATTTATAGGTCAAAATGGTTACTATTTTGCGAACATATAAGAGAAACCTGTATTTTCACTAGTTAGACTCAAGCTTATACTATGTGCCTGTTGAGTTATACGTAACAGGGCACTTACTGAAACAAATTTTCTGCAATTTTTTTTCACAAGTCACTTAGTTCATATAGAACATAGTAAACCACGTTTGTATACGTGTGATCAAAAAGGCTATGGACCCATCCTCTATACATAGTTTGCCCCACAAATAATGATATATTTATTTTTTCATTATATGTGAAGACGACGCGAGCTCGCAGTAAAAAATAAGTCTAAACTTTTATTAAAGTTTAGACTTATTTTTTAACACGACGTAGTTTTGAAAGGGAAAAATTTAAATTACTTTTGAAAAAGAGTATATAAAATGACAAACTAAAAACAAAAAGAAAAAGCACCCGAGACGTCATTCGACTCGTGCTATCAATCCTCTATGCTATTATTAAAAAAAAACATTTCAATACTCGCGTCGCTAACAATATGTTTGTTTCTTGTTCATACTATAGTTCTGAAAACAATTATTTTCTAAATTTAATGCGACTTACCTACTATTTGAATACAGTAACATTATGTTACCGCTGAAACCTTCAATGATGTCTGCTATTCTTTTTTAAATTTAGACTTTCCATTTTTGAATTCCTGATTTGTACCATAATTTATGTAGTATGTTTATTTATATTTTTTTAACAAGTTTTTGTCTTTTGTTATAGCCGTGCAGAATGAAAGAGATCGCATCAACTGTCGGAGGCCTTCGTACGAGGAACCCACGCAAGCCAACGGCCTATCAGTAGTGTCACTGCTCAACGCTGAACTACTTAGCAGGAAAGTCATCGATGAGGTGTGTACTTAAATATTTTATTTAAACGTAAAACTGATCAGAACTCCGGGAGTAGTGATCTTATGTCAGTAGGCTATTATAAAAACAGGCTCACTCGTCGAAAGCAGCGCAGTCACGTCATTTATTTATTTTTATTTATTTATTTATAAATGGTACACAAACAGATCATAATCAAAAGAGAAACCTACAAACATATTTAAAGTATTTGGACTAGACTATAATCTAAAAACAGTGTACACAGCATGAACAGTATTAACTTACAACATGAACAGATCCTTAAGTAACTTTTAGTATACAGTAAATTTAAATATTAACTGGTGTTAATATTATAATTATAGAAATTTGTCTGATATTATTTTTTTTATATTTTGAGAATTTGTTATTGAAAATATCGACAGTTCCATCATTACGATTCAATTCGTTATATGTACGAGACATTCTTACGATCGGGTTATAAAAAGAGGTATTATTTTTTTTAGACTCGGATTGAAAATGTGTTAGGGTAACGCGATTTATGTCATAGAACGACAATTAAATAAAATCTTTTATACCCTTTGAAATAGACTTTATTTAACAAAATAACATGGCTGGTCAGAGGTTATCAACTCAAACAATTGGAATCTCAAATATCAATAGCCATAAATTATAAATAAATAAATTTTCTTAGCGCAAACTTTGAGAAGCTCAGTTCTAGATAATTTATATGTAATTATGATAACGTAAGTCCTACTTACAAATCAGATCATTAGTTTGGGATAAAATTGCGAATATACGTCGTGGTTGAACAAGCACTCGTCAGGTTACCACAACAATAAAAATTATCCCAATTGATTTTTAAACTCTACGTAAATGCTTTAAGGTTTAAAATCAAGTTAATAAATTTCACCGATTTTTTTAAACCTTACATGCTGTTCAATGTATATAAAATATATACCTCAATAACAACAAAAAATCATTATCATCATGATAAAATAACTCAAACATTTTTATAGCTATGAATAGAATTCTAACAAGAGAATTTAGCGGTCGTTACTAGGGTTGCCAGATTTTTTCAGCCTGTAAGGTACAATTGCTTAAATGTGGAAAAATAAGGGATTTCAGTTTTTTATTCAAGGTACTTTTTTATTTATTTTCGGAGAACGGCGCATGTTTTCACATATTTTTCTTGGAATTGACATAATAAAAAATGAATTAAAATCATAGTTAAATATGGTCATTAATTTGGTTTTTATTAAGTAGGCGGTACATTTATTTCGTTCATCACCCCACTTTAACACCATTGGTGAAATCGATTTGATATACGAGACAAAGTCGGTCCTGGCGGAATATTTGAATTTATATATGAAATACGGTATATCAAGTGAAATATGGGATGTCTGGCAACACTAGTTACCCAGGTGGTTGAAGACTTTTTGGCGGGCTTTTGAACGCACTAGGCGCGAATTTTAAAAGTTTCTTCAAAATAATTTTAATTTCTTGTTTTTAATTCTAGTTTTAATTAAAAAGTACTGTAAAATAGTTATTAATATTGTACATTTAAATAATCATGCCGGACGGGGACGACCCGCCCGGCGGGACCGAAAAACGAAAAGCTCCTAATAGAGCAAGTGAAGCAGACAAGGCAGCCTCTGAAGATTTTTACAAACCATATATTAAACATGATTATAAAAGACTGTTTCCTGACAATGCGGTGAGTGCTGAATACTGTGTTTTCGTAGAAAGTTATAAAGAAAACGAAAAATTAGGCAACAACAATCCAATTCTGACGACCAATCTGTTCAAAAACGATATAAAGGGCATCATCAATATAAAAAGGATCAACCCCACTAAAATCTGTGTGACCTTTTCTCAAGCGAACCACGCCAATAACTTTCTAAAAAATGAAGATTTCTTATCAAAGCACAAATTCAAAGCATATATCCCGGCCTCAGCAGTAGAAAAGATTGGTGTACTACGCTTCGTACCCACCAGTATTAGTAACGAAGAGTTATTTAAGAAATTAAGCTCTCCTTTTGAAATTGTAGCTGTACGTAGGTTTACAAAAAAAGAGAATGGTACTATCAAAACTATTAAAACAGTCAGCATAACTTTCTTATCAAATGTACTACCAGAATACGTTTATCTTGATTTGTTCCGATTCAGAGTCCATGAATATAATGCACCTTTATTACAGTGTTATAAGTGCTTTAAATTCAACCATGGGGCGAAAGTATGCAAATCGGTACAAAAATGCTCCGTTTGTTCCGAGGAGCACCATTACACACAATGTCCAAATGATAAAGTCATTAAATGTTCAAACTGTCAAGGTTCACATCTCTCTATTTCACGTGACTGTCCTATTAAAAACCAAAAAATTGACGAAAAGAAAAACAAAGTAAGTTATGCAAACGCTTTATTATCCAAAAGAGAACGATACAATGGTAATATGACTATGAATAATTATCAAACTAACTTCCCGCAATTGTCTACCCCTAAAAAGCCCTTAACACCAAATAAAATACAAGGCTCCACCACTACCCCTTCTACCATCCTAAATCCTACACAAACCACAGAAGTGGTGAAACTTTCAAATGAAAAGTTAATTGATGAAATAATCAATAACGACTTTATCCGCAAGGCCATAGTTGGCGCACTGGTTGCAATAGGAAATGAAGATAGAGCCATAACTAGTAACATAATACAGGAGATACTTATTAAAACTCTAAAACCTAAATAATGGATAAAAGTTTTCTAAGAATATCCCAGTTTAACATAGAAGGTGTTATTAACAAAAAACCACTCCTCATCAATTATCTTCAAGAGAATCACATAGATATTTGCTTATTAAATGAAACCTGGTTAAAAGAAAATAATAATATACATATTTCTAGCTATGACATAATTAATCAAATAGGTATTGGTGGTCGAGGTGGAGTCTCGATCTTGATCAAAAATTATTTCAAATATTCTGTCCATTCAATTCCTTTCTATGAAGAATCACAAGCAGTAGGTATTACCATACTTACTGATATAGGTAATCTCTCTATATTGTGCATTTATTGTCCTCCTCCGAAGCAAGGGCGTTTAAACTTTCAGAGCAACAATTTAAAAAAGATTATTAATGATTTACCTAAACCTATATTAGTCTCAGGAGATTTTAATGCACACCACATAGCATTTGGCTGTCACTCAACTAACAACAGAGGTAACAATATTTACAACATGTTTGACGAATGCGATTTATGCATCCTAAATTCGGGCTCTACAACCACTGTAGGACGTGTTGGTCAAAGTCCTTCAGCAATAGACATATCATGTGTTAGTCCTTCTGTGGCTCCATTGTGTAACTGGAGTGTATATTCTGACTCAATGGGCAGTTATCATTATCCCACCATCATAGATATTCACGTCTCAATTGAAAAATATGAAATAGGCGAACCTTTTGAACGGTTTCTATACAACAGAGCCGATTGGAAAAACTTTTATATTGACAGTGAATCAGCATTTGATGATATTACAATTGAAAATAATAATTCTCTGAATACATATAATAATTTTTGTAAGATATTAAATATTCTCAAAGAAAAATATATACCTAAATTAAAAAAGAATACTACATTCGTTAAAAAGAAACCAGTTCCATGGTGGGACGATGAGTGTAAAGAAGTTGTCAAAAAAAGCAAACTAGCATTAAATTTCTATAGATCTCATCCAACTATTGATAATTACATAGAATACAAAAAAAGTGACGCTCACAAAAAGCGACTACTCTGTGAAAAGAAAAAAAACAGTTGGTTAAAATTATGTGAGTCCTTTAATAGATACACTCCAGTAAGCATAATATGGAATTACATGAGGCGATTCAAAAGAATTTCATCTTCCAAACGACCTAAAAATGATGACTGGGTCCCATCCTTTTTTGATAAATATGCACCTTCAATTCCATCTGAAAAAGATATAGATTTGGATAAGTTAAAATATTTTTTTGATAGCAATGGAAGTTTAAATGCTCAATTTCTTATAAAACCATTCACATGGGAAGAATTCCAAACATCCTTACAGTCTAGAAAAGACACTACCCCTGGTCTTGATGATATCACATATAATCTTATAAAAAAATTGCATATAAATGCACAAAAAAAGTTACTCGTTATATTTAATTTACTCTGGGAATGCCAGACAATACCACAATCATGGAAGACACAGTGTGTTATTCCAATCCTTAAACCAGATAAGCCAATACAAGAAAGCAATTCATATAGACCTATTTCTTTGTCCTCTTGTATAGGTAAGATATTTGAAAACATTATCAAAATAAGATTAGATTATTACATTGAAAGTAATAGAATATTACCTATAGAACAATTTGGGTTTCGCAAAGGTCGCAGTGCTGCAGAGAGCTTTATTTCATTGATATCTGATATAAAAACATCATTTCTTCAACATTCCGTGACAGTTTGTGCATTTCTTGATGTTAAAGGTGCATTCGATAATGTGAATCCTTCCATCATGTCCCAAGTCCTTCATGATATTGGTGTTCCAGGTAAACTCTGTAAATGGGTGTTTGATTTTTTATTTAACAGACATATGTATATAAAGTATAACAATATATTACATGGTCCAAGAAATGTCTACAAAGGTACTATGCAAGGAGCAACAATCTCTCCTATATTGTATAATATTTATACATGTCAAATTAAACAACATTTAAAGGAAAATAATGTATATTTTCTACAATTTGCTGATGACCTAGTTATATATACTGTAAATAATAATGTAAATATTGCTATCAATAAAATAAATAGAGCATTAACAGAAATACACCACTATTACAAAAATATATTAAAATTAGAAATAAGTGCCTCAAAAAGTTCTGCTATGATTTTTAGTAAGATACCTTATAGTACACTTAATAATGATGTTATGTACAATAATAGTTGTTTACCATGGGTTCAAGACCACAAATTCTTGGGTGTATGTTTAGATCCTAAGTTGAGCTTTCAGAAACATTTTGATAAGATAATCAAAAGTGCCACACAAGGTTTAAATGTACTTAGATCTCTGGCTGGTATACATTGGGGTTCAGATCCGAAAATTTTGTCAATGCTTTATAAAAGCGTGGTAAGAAGTCACTTTGACTACAGTTGTCTAGCATACATGAATGCTAATTCAAGTTTATTACGTAAATTAGATGTTCTTCAAAATAGAGCTTTGAGAATAATAACTGGGGCAATGTGTTCTACTCCTATTCATGTGATGCAATCAGAAAGCTGTATTCCACCACTCATATTCAGGCGTTTACAGTTGGCAGAAAGATTTTGCTTAAGAACTATTTCTTATAAAAGCTCATTTATTACAGGCAGACTATTACCTTTAGAAACTTTACAGAATATGCAAAGAGGTTCTTATATCAATAATGCTTCACTTAATACTGGATACACTCCAGAAATGGTAGCAATTGTGCTATATGTACATAAATTTTATTCAAATCTGTATATAGATAATACTTGGCCTCTGTACAATATTTCATATAATGCATTGATAAATTGTAATTTCATATTACATTCTGAACCAATACAAAATAACAAAGATTTAATGCAATTTCTAGAAAACCAATCTTATTATAGAGTATACACAGATGGTTCTAAGACTGATAATAGAGTGACATCTGCTTATTATGATGTCCAGCTAAATTTAAGCAAATGTATATTAATCCCAAGTAATTGTAGTATATATACAGCTGAATGTTATGCTATCTATCAGGCTTTAATATATATCTCAGCACTACAAAATGTTAACAAGTTTTTAATTCTTTCTGATTCACAAAGTGTATTAAATTCATTTAGAAATAGTTGTAAATATGATGTTAATTATTTAGTGTTTTATATCAAACAAGTCTTAAGTAACCTAAATGATTCAGATAAAACTATACATTTTATGTGGGTACCTTCGCATAGTGGCATTACAGGAAACGTAAAGGCTGATGAAATAGCACGATCCACACCCAATGAAGACCATTCACAATCAATGAAGATTCCTTTTACTGACTTTAAGGCTGTTGTTAATCAAAACTTGGCGATGCTCTGGAAAAACCAATGGGAGTTAATTAGCAAAGAGAAAGGTCAATGGTACAAAAAGGTCCAAGGAAGCCCGCCCGCCCAACCTTGGTGGTACAATAAATCAATACAGAGTAGAAAGTTCATAACTACTATAAACAGATTGAGATTTGGTCATGGTCAGTTTCGCACTCACCTGCATAGATTGAAGATGGCAGATGATCCAAAATGCCCTGATTGTAAAGAAAATGAAGATCTGCAACATATCATATTCAAATGTAAACGGTTTGGACTACATCGCTTGGTACTTGTTAGCGAACTTGAAGCAATCACCAAGAACATACCATCAACGCTGGAAGAATTATTAAAAGACTACAAATACTTTAAACCGTTATTCAAGTTTGTTGTCAACACTGTCAAAAATATCTGAGTGAGAAGAAAGAACAATGAACGAATTTTGTCTTGTATTCTGTCAAAAAACTATGTAAGGCTTAAAAGGACTAGTATCCAGAGCCGTAAACACTAATAAATAAAAAAAAAATAAAAAAAGGTGGTTGAATCTCATAATACTACTCTGCGCACATTTGAACATAAACCTGTCACCATAACTCATTATCAGTATAAATAATATTCGTCATCAAACCTGCGTCCGTGCATAATCGCATTATTATGACAGATAACTGATAACCTTGACTCGGAGCGCGTTAAGGACATCTGAGGGCAAAGACGTTTTATGTAAACCTTTTATTGGCCATCTGCAACTTGGCGTCTACATTAAAAATCATGTGTTGTATTCCCGGATTCGAGACTAGAGTAAATGATATGTCAGGGGCCATGATTTGAGCTGCGGACTCCGACATGCATTCAGTGGCGGATTAGTCCCCATTAGAGGCTCGAGGCGGCATCTTTTATACTTTTACATTTATAGCTTTTATAATGTTCTTACATTTTATGTAACTAATTAACGCCATAAGTGGTTTAGCAAATTTTTGTTATATACTTTACCTACTTTTTTCGAGTTCTCGAAGCGTAATATTTTCCAAATAAGTGCTATAAAACTTATTTTTTTAAGTATTTATATGGTTCATATTTTCAGAAACTAGAACATTTTCCTTAAACCTTATTTGCCCACCACCCACCCACCTCTAGTTTGGCCATTTATTTATCAAATAATTCCGTTATGTTTGTTATTAAATTTATAATAAATTATTCCACAGACTATAAACGTGTCAGACGCAGAGATCGGCAACCGCAAGCTAGCAAAGATCAACGACGTGTGCGACTCCATCAAACAACAACTACTGATACTGGTCGAGTGGGCCAAATACATACCGGCGTTCACAGAACTACACCTCGATGACCAGGTATGATATAATCTTCATATCATATACGACGACCTAACCGTAGAACTACGTTATATGTGAAATTCATCATCAATATAATATATCTTATAATATTACATTAATATTATGTATCAAAAAACGGACTTAAGTATGCTTAGACGTAAAGAAGAAACTGGCAAATATATAAGTATAATGCATTTACATTTACAAGCTTTTCTTGTATTATAGGTCGCTTTGTTGCGCGCTCACGCCGGCGAGCATTTGTTGCTTGGATGCGCGCGACGTTCTCTGCATCTGCGCGACGTTCTACTGCTGAGCAACAATTGTATCATCACCAAACACAACATCGGTTAGTATCTATCCAACCGTCTACAATAGGATAGCTAAAATAATTATATCTATGTTTATTTCAGTATAAACTAAAATTTACATTGAAATAAACATATAATATCTTTGATATTTTGATTTTTAGTCTTAAATTTGCATGATATTATCTTTAATAGGTGATAGGTATTATCTTTAAATTAAATATAGATTTTTTTTATTTATTTATCACGTGACTTGAAACGTCCCGAATTGGTGTGATGTCGCTCCGGCGGCAACCGTCTGTCAGATTAGTCTGAAACAGATGCCTATTTATTATTATTAATTTATTATATAAATGGCGTTGTTCTTGCCATATTTCTTTTTATTTTTATTTTGTAACAAGAACGTTAGATGGCACTGATCTTGTATGCCATCTTTTAGTGTATTGAATAATAATATATTCTATACTTTTTCGCGGATATAAAATTAATTGAAATATTTATTTAATAACAAAGCAAGAAAATGTGCTCAAATAAACATGACAAAACAGCCGAAATATTTTTATGGCTTATTGAAATTAAAATAAACACAATTACTATTTCAAACATAGTAGAATACCCTAAAAGTTGGAAGAGAATGCCATTAGCATTAAATCTTCCTTTTGTACCATTTATTTACTGGTTAATAAAGTTAAATAAATAAAATGTTTTTATTTTAGATGGTAGAATGGACATCGACATCAGTATGATAGGCATGCGCGTGATGGACGAGATAGTGAAGCCTCTGCGCGAGATCGACATCGATGACACAGAGTTCGCTTGCCTAAAGGCAATCATCTTCTTCGACCCAAGTCAGTATACAATCATGATCTACACAATAAATGCTAAATCAATCTACGCAATATATGCTAATTTCGTTTTTAGGGTTCCGTACCCGGGAACCCTATTACTACGACTTCTCTGTCCGTCTCTCTGTCGTCAGGCTGTGAAATTTAGACAGTTGAAACTTTCACAGATGATGTATTTCTGTTGCTGCTTCAACAACAAATACTAAAAGCCAGAATAAAATAATTATTTAAGTTGATGGTTTTTTAATCGTATTATTTGTAAAGGAACAAATTCAAACCTTTTTATCCGTTTCAGTGTCATGGTTTCTTTATAAAATTGTTTCTAACTTAATACTGCCGTCAGTGATTTAAACTTTCACGTTTAAAATATGAGTTCATCATCACCAGCCATTTTGCGTCCCCGCTGCAGGGGCTCAGGCCTTGGATGATTAAGATTAAATATCAGTTACAGAATGTATTGTTTACAGATGCCAAAGGTCTATCTCAGCCGCAGAAGATAAAGCAGCTGCGTTATCAAGTGCAAATCAACCTGGAGGACTATATAAGTGACCGTCAGTATGACGGTCGCGGACGTTTCGGCGAACTGCTACTATGCTTGCCGCCATTACAGAGTATCACGTGGCAAATGATAGAACAGATACAGTTCGCCAAACTGTTTGGAGTCGCGCACGTCGACAGTCTGCTGCAGGAGATGCTACTCGGTGGTAAGTTCAATCAGCATACCAATGTCCCAGCAGTTATATGAAAAGAAGAGATATGTTCGATCGATCGTGGGGTGGGAACCTGGTGATTTATTATTTCAGGCTAAGCCTACTGTAGACACCAGTCTCCCACAAATTAACGAGCAAAATAAACTACAAAAAATGTATGTACCCATTGTGTAGTATGTGAATTTGTGAGGAGAAATAAACATATTTGAATTTATTATTATTATTGTTATAATGTCCCAGCAATGGAATTTCTTAAGTTCAGAATTTCCAATTCCCGAAACGTCCCGTTGACTGTTTTAGGAAATGTATTTACAACTTTCATATGATCATATTAAACCACTGTCAGATTTATTTTTCTTCAATAAGTTGTTCTTTAACGAATAAAATGTATTTTTCCTTATTTAAAAGAATTTTGTTTACTCACGTGGCAATAAAAATGAGTACTAAACGTAAAGACGTTGACGTTTTATTTATTGAAATATGACGTCACACGATGCTCCGTCATGGCCGCCCGCATTTCGGTTCTTATAATCCAAGTTTATTTTGATAAAATATATTATAAACCCGCTGGCGGAAAGCCAGTATAACTGTCTAGTAGCCAATTATTAAAAACTCTACTAAGGACACTAAACCGCCATGATATACATATAGGTTTTCGTTGTGAATGATGATGCAACACTAATTTCGGACGAACAGCTATTAGATAAAGATAATTATTCTGTAGTGTGGATACTTTCGTTTTTCAGATTTCCATAATAAAAGTGCTTTAGGTACTTTTGATCTGAGGGCTCAGTAAGTTCGTCCATCAACGAAAAATTGGAAAATTATGAACTCTTCTTAAAATCATATACATAAAGATTATGAATCAGAAGCAGTGTCAGCTCCTGCCTCTTTTGCATCATAAATTAATAGAAAACGGGTCTTTTTTAAGTCATACTAGCGATTCGAAATGAGACGAAATTTCGTTTTCTGGAGAAATTTGTAGGTCTTCAGATAAACGTTTGTGAATTTTTCTTAATTAATTATATTCAATTGTCATCTATAGGAGCATCTACGGACGCTGTTGAGGGTGGGGCGGGAGTAGGCGCGGGGGCGGGGGCGGGAGCGGAGGCGGAAGCGGGAGCGGGCGCGTCTTCACCGCCGCTAGTGCCGGTGGTGCCGTTACCTGACGCCAGCTTCCTCGACCCCATGCCCTTCAAGCAGGAGCCTAACATGTGAGCACGTACAAATATACCGGTGACGGATACATCTCATCACTACACCACAATTGTCAGTGTAAAAAAAAATCACTAAACAGTTGCCAGTGCAAAAATCGGATTACTAAGACAAGAAAACATCATTATTTAATAAATCTAAACATCGAACTTGCAGTATACTATTCGCTTCTATGCATGAAAATTGTACAATGGCAGTTGTATAGGTTGTTTTAATGGTTCATAAAGGAACGTTATAACGTTATATTCAATGACAAGGATCTACAAAGCTACGTACGTTAGCATTCATAGCCTACGCCAACGAAATTATTTTATTGATCTTATAGGCACAAGGATAAGGTTTAGTGTTGAATATACGTTTGACGTTCGTTAGCTCGGTCTGTACGTGCTGTAATAGCGTACACATTAGTGTAGGCTATTATTATACGTATTTCACGGACAGTTAGGGTTTTTAACTTGGAATGTGGAAAGACACAGTTTAAGAAGTTTTGGTAGGTTTCGTTTGAGAAAACGACGAAATATATTTAAGGTTGCACGTGTTGCTAGAAGACGCCACATTTTGATGCGCTTTAAAATTGCGCACCGAACAAATAAAATTATATATATATTCATCAAAATCCCTATAAAATATTTTATTAAATCGTATTTTGATAGAAATGTTTACTTATTATATCTTGTAAAATTGTTCATCAAAGATACTGTGCCTTATCACTTTGAGAATTTTTAATATACAAGTATTTTTTAAGATCGGTTGTTATATCATTTAGTTATAAGTGAATTATTTAAGAAAGTTAAGAAAACAATTAAAATAAGTTACTTTATATCATGATGACAACTATCACCTAAAATATTTTTAAGTACTACGATTTTGGGAGAAGTATACAAGCACGTTAGTTACCATAATAAAGCCGGTATAGAAAAGCCGTATGGCGGAATACTGTCACAAATGGGAACTGATCAATCCCTTCTTTTTTTATCAATTTTCGACCTGACTAAAGCAGCGCTTATAAGCTATTTGTCGCTTTTTTATTCATAAATAGCTGTTTATTACTTGTTTATTACATGTTTTTCCCCTAATAATATAAAAACAATGTATTTTATGGTCTATGCCGTATTAATGCCCCTCCCAGCCCGGGGGGGGGGGGGGTCCACTAACGGTGCTGCGAGCGCGGTCCAGTCAGTACCTTGAGATCTGGTTGTCCAGTAATTACCTTTTCGAGCCTAAGAATGACATAAAGTACAGCGTTTTTATCCCTTCTGGGGAAAAACGTTCGTTAATTCATGGTCTGTGCGGTCAGCTTGACCATGTGAGATATTTTTGGGTTGTGATGTCGCGGGGGAAGCCTACTGATAATCAGATAGGTAAATAAGTAAATGCTTGTGTAGTGAATTCAATTAAAACAATAACATTTTCGAAGAAAATTGATTATATTTGAATCACAATGAAATAAGACATAAATCAAAAGCTTCAGTGGGAACAATAATAGGAACCTTAAATAGTACTTAAACTAGCATTAACTAAAGTTGAGTCAATGGAATTTAAACAATTTCCACGCTAATTGACGATATGTGTGATTATCAGTTTTTAATCCAAAATCGGGCCAATAGTTACCGATGAGTCGTCAATAGACATACTTTAATTATCGATCCTGAGAACCGTGAGATCGTGAAGCTAGTAGTAATATTAGAGCTAAGTGCCGTACTTGAAATACACTGTCTTCCTATATTATAGCGTTTCTCATCCAGGTGATAATGGTTTTAATATCCCAAATCCGCTTCTTAGTAAGAATTGTGTTGCTATGATCACATCGTCCTGTAGTTTTATTGGATTTTGGTTGGCAAGCAGGAAGTCATCGAGGTAAACAATAACTCTGATCCCCATCTGCCTTAGGCACGACGCCAGCCAGTTTGATACCCTTGCGAAGGTTAGGGGAGCTGTCGATAGGCGAAACGGGAGGCATGTAAATTTCAATACTCTGTCCTGATAGACTATTGAGAGAAATCTTCGATGACGGGTGGCTACAGAAACGTGGAAGTAAGCCTGATGAAGATCTATTTTTGCAAGTTAATCTTCTTTCTGTAGAAACAGAAGTACATAGAAATTCTTTATCAGTAGAAATTTCTTTGGTGACAAATATTTGTTTAGGGCTCTGAGGTTTATTATAGAACGAATTTTGTTGTTGGGTTTTGGGACTAGAAACATAGTCGACAGGTTGCCAGACTTGGACGTTGTCCCTTCTAGAACTCCCTGATTTATGAGTGATTAAATTTCCAAATCCAATGTTTTTATCGCGTTTTGTTTCCGGATTCCTGCTTGAAAAGGTATGAGTGGGAGTTGCTTCACGAAGAGAATGAGGTACCCTCTGATTATATTCATAATACTTGATGACGCCCCCTCCATGTTCCAAACCTCTATAAATTTTAGAAGCCGCCCTCCACTGAAACCTTCAAAATCTGTGCTTTTTTGACGAGTGTCCCCCAATGGGGTTCTCTTTTGATGCCTTTCCTCGAGAGGTAACTGGCTTTTGTCTTGATTTTTGGAGATGTTTGGACGTTTGAAAAGCCTTGACGCTTTCGGCTCTCTCTCCGTCGGCCAGGCTTATCGAGGTGTTGATGCAACATCAAATCGTTTGGGCTGCAGTGGTTTTCTATAGGGGATACGAAAAAGCTCTGATGTGATGGCTGCTTGAGCGACCCCACTTATTGTTTCTTACAGAACAGATGCGTTGTGGAAGGAGGTATATAAGGAGGCAACGAGAAGAGGCTTGATATGCATTTTTCGGGAGGAGTGTATTTCTTCTTTGTTCAATAACCTCTGCCGTTCTGCCACATACATATTGCAGTAAATTATCTGAGACTATCTTCAGTGGTGAGTCTGTCGACAAGATACTTTTAAATCTTTCATAGCCGAATGTTTGGTTGCCAGGTCCTTTAGAGTATTTGACAGAGCGTCCCTCTGGAACAGTAAGGCATGCGTTATGACGATGACATGAAGGTTGTCGTGATGAGATTGGTTTTCAAAGGATCGAAAACTGGGTAAGCATGTAGTTTATTCTGCACTTCAGCATATCTTATCTGA